GCTTTTTTGGAGCTACTGTGAGCACAGGAACAATTAATGCTGTTAAACATCTTTCTCATGCATCTGACAGTAAATGAAGAAGGGAGATATTTAGAGGATTTTCTCACCACCCATTAAAATCTAACTCAGCAAGTCGACAGTAAAAATGATTAAGATTTTGAACACAGCCACAGAAAACAATACAGCCTTCATGACAGCCATCATATAGCCAAATGACAAATATGGAGTCTAATAACTACAAATACAAGAACTTGAAACAATCATTGCAAAAGATATAGAGCATGACAGTCAATACACCTGAGTAGCACAATTAGCTGAATCAACTCCACAAGGACGAAATCAATTAGACAAGGGGAAACAATCTTCCTCACACTACGTACTGGCATGAGAAGCACAGTGGCTCATGCTCCAAAGTTCTGTGAATGTAGCTCTAAGTATGAAGAGATGCACCTCTTAGTATTCCCATATACTAGCCTACAAGGACACATTCAACTCTTACTGGATTTCAGGAAATGCTAATGTCCTCTTGCCTCCATCCCCACTAAGGCTAATAAGAGCCTTTTCAATAGCAATTGGTGGGCAGAATAATTCTGGGAAGACTAGCTGGAGACCTGCAGTAGGATGCTAAGAAACCAAATCCTTCAACTCACAGTTAGTGAGTTTGCATATATTGCTACTGTCTCCTCTTTGCCAAACAGAATATACTTCAAAATCATCGGAAAAATGGGGTTAACATTTTGCATAAGCACTTCAGTTATTACCTGGCTCACATTAACAATCAACTAGGCTAACATAACAAACAATTCTTGTTACTCAAACTGGCGTCATTGTAATGAGCTCCAAATTAATCTCATCCGTACACAATCACTAATCTTGTTTCGTGCCAACTGAATTCTTAATCAGAACGGAGTGAATCATAGGTTGTTTTTAAAATACGTTTCTAATACTTGTCATCCAAAATGAATAAACACAAGAGCATTGAAGAACTTTTCTATTTACATTCTGAGAAGCTGATTTTATTTATGCATACTATACAAACAAGTATCAAATGCATACAATAGGTGAGGACATTTTTAATGAAAATAAAAAATAAATATGTTCATTTCTAATAATGCTTTGAGCTTGAATAGCATCATCAATGTAAAGAGTTTAGCCCTCTAATTAAAACTGTATGACAAACTAAAATTAAAGGAACAGTTGCCCCTCTGTTGAGTTGCTCCTCAGTCTCTACATCATTCCAGAAGATCAGAATACACACAATCAGGCCCTGCAATCAGCATAGTAACTACTTTTGGTGAGGCATGTAATGAAGTGTGTATTTTTGCAGTCCTGAACTTGAGACTCAACCTGAGTTTCAAACTGAAGTGACTTTAATATTTGTGCAAGACATACAAACAAAGCTCAGTCTCAATGAGCCTTTTTTACTTGATTCTGCAACTGCAATACCAATTTAACAAAGCAATTGATTAGCTCTGCTTATAACAACAAGAATGCTCAACATATCACCCTGCTGCTGAAACACAGGCCCAACTCTTTAGGAATTTTTTGGAAAAAAGGAGATAGTATGAAGTGTTGACCTACAACATCTACTTTTTAAATTGCAGTCTGGAATCTTGTTTTAGCTGTCTGGCTAAAACAACTGCTTAACTGAACACCTGCTACCATGCTTAGATGAAAACCTAATTTGAAGGTCTGCCCACGGCCATGGAAACTGAAGGAGTGACTGAAGCTGCCTGCAGCACAGCCATTCTGTCTTCAGGGAGGTCTCCTGACAGCCTCTATTACAGCCACACAAGCTTGAGGAATCTGGAATACCTGGTTCTCATTTCAAGCTAAGCATAAGGCTTGACTCAAGCCATGTAACAGCATGTGATGACTTCTTCAAAAACAAGACACTCAGGCAGACAAGAACTGTGCAGGCAGGCTCAATGTCAGAATTCCCACAGATCTGGCAGCACGTATTACTTACTTAGAGACTGCGCTCCTCATTTAATACCATCTACATGCTTTTGTGAATGTTAGATCCTGTTCCGATTGCCAGGAACTGTTGCATCAAAACTTTTTGAAGATTGCTCAAGATTAAGAGCATTAACTTACATTCAACATGCTAATCTATTTTTACTTATAGTCAGTAGAAAGATAAGTTAACACATGGGGTAGATAGGGCCCTGGGCAGCCTGCTATAGTGGTTGGCAACCCTGCCCACAGCAGGCGGGGGTTGAAACTAGATGATCTTTAAGGTCCTTTTCAACCCAGGCCATTCTATTCTATGATTTTAAAAATCTGCTAATATCTTAGAATTGAATTTAAATTATATTAATTAAACAACTGAGATCTGTGGAAACAAGGGAGTTATTCAAATACTTAGCATAAAAACCAAGTTACTGTTAATGTAATACTCTGAAGAAAAACTCTTCAAACCATGTTGAACATTAAAAGGCAAAAGCAAAAAATACAGCCTATAGACCATAGCTGCAAGGTGGAGATAACACGCTCTGATAACATCAGGATGGACTGCAGAAGAATTACCAAAGACCTTATCAAAAAAGGTTATATTTACATAGTGAATACTACAGCAAGACATAATAACCAAAGGAAAGCTCTGGGCTTCAAATTTCTTTTTTGGTTTATTTTTAACTAATGTTAAAATAGGCTGGTTAATATCTCATTATGCATCAAGGAGCAAATGGCTCTTCAAGCCACTTTCCAGCGAAGAGGATGGGAAGTTTGTTCTGTGCTTAGGCAGAAGAAAAGCAACGCTCCCAAAAGAAGTATGATTAATGAACAAAATAAAAAAGAAAGAAAGAATTAAAACTAAGGATTTTTTTATCCTTGCAGGTTTCCCTGTGGATCACTAATGCTAGTGACTTCTTTGCACATGAGAAATATGGCACCATACCACACTCCATCTGAACAGCATTTCTGCAAGATGTTCCGAATTATCTTTATTTAATATCTCATTTGCTATCTGTTATTAATTTCAGCTTTCCAACACATTAAAAAGTGCTCCTCTTCCTTTCATATCAACTGCAGAAAGTGGTTGTTAGTGTGAATATTCCTCAGGAGGTTGCAAGATTGTGAAACAACAAAACAGAAAGAGGGGAAAATAGAAGCACTGGTAAATAAAATAATGTGAAAACAATTTTAGAATTGTCATATAAAGTAAAACCTTTTCTATAAACAATCTGTCCTGGTTTTGTCTGGGACAGAGTTAACTTTCTTCATAGTAGCTAGTGAGAGGCTATGTTTTGGATTTGTGCTGAGAAGGTGGCTGACAACATACTGATGTTTATAGTTGTTGCCAGGACAGTCAAGGACTTTTTATCTTCTCTGCTGTGCCAGTGTATGCACGTGTTAGCTGGGAACCGGCTGAGCCTCGGTCACTGATTAGTGCACAGTTGTACTGTATATCACTCATTTGTATATTTCTAAATTTGTATATATTACTATTATTATTCTCATAATTATTTTCAATGTTATTGTAGTTTAATTATTAAACATTTCTTATCTCAACCCACGAGCCTCTTTTCCCTTTACCCCTATAATGCTCTCCCCCATTCTCCAGGAGGTGGGGAGGGTGAGCAAGCAGCTGTGTGATATTTGTTGCTGTTGTCTGGGTCAAACCATAACATGAGCCTAACAAAACAGCGATTCAGCAGTATCATGCCTCCTTCCAAAAGGAGTTTGTGAGTGGCAGGGAGAAGCAAAGAAATGTTCACCTTTTGAAAATTCTGTTAGGTATGCTAAAAATAATTATGAAAACCAATTAGTTTAAGATTGCGTAGTTTTTCAAAGTAACTTAATTAAAGTGAACAAAGCTAAAACCAAAAAACAACACATCTGTCATGTCACATGTGAAGGACATGTTCAACTCTGTGGCCACCGTCTCATGTTCTTCCCCTATGACACCTGTACCCAAAACTGAACAATACAGCAAGACAGCCTCTGACTGACTTTGGCGAGCTCCTATACCTGATGAAATCAATTACTTTTTGGGTTAACTTTCTAATAAAAGCTGAAAATTTTGAGAAAAAAATAATAAATGAGAGCATGACCTACTGCGTGGGTAACTGAACAGGAATTACAGTAGAGCTCTCTGGCAAAGGCATACTTTTCTGACACAGCCACTGAACCCTGCACCGTAACCACAGGCACTGGACACTCATTGGAAAAAATACGCCCAAACCCTATTGACAAACGATACTGTTGATTCCGAAACAAGGCCGCAAATCTGCAAAGGCAGCAGAATGGAGCCCAAATAGAGGGGAAGAGTGAAAGAGAAAAATACTCTAGGTTTCAAAATACCTTCATACGGCTTTAGTAAGTAACTTCTAAAAGGGAGAAGTATTTTAAAAGCATAACCATTGTTAGCTTCTTCAAACAAGGCTTTACAACTTAAGGCTAATTTTGAATAGTGAACAAAATGCTTGATTTCAGATGTGGTGTTTCTTCCACAGTAAGAAGACTGTGTAAAAATATTTTCTCATTAACTTTTGACCCCCCCACCTTAAAAGGGCATTTCTTTGGCTTTATGGTAACATTACCACACGTGAGCAGATATCTTTGACACAGTGATTTCAACAACGTACAACCTGGTTTTATCCTTCCTCAGGGGAAAACAAAAATCGACATCACTACACAGTATTATGCTGCATTTTCTGAAATTAAATGCTTTTTAAATACACAATTGAGCAATCCTTTTTGTGGAAACAGATCTTTTAAGATGGTCAGATATTAAAATGACATATTTTTAAAGTTATTCTGAGTAGTTGTTGTAAATGTCATCTTGTCTTGATTAAAATATTATTTTAAAACCCCTTACATTTATGGATTCAACTTTAAATCACATTAGAAGACAAAATGTTTATACTCACACAACAGCGAGATAAAAGAGTGGGTGTTGTTCTTTATTCTGTATTGTTAGCAAATTCCTATTAGCAAAGCTATTCTAAAAAAGTCTCTTTGCATTGTATAAGGTTCTCAAACAGTGAAGTACTTACATGCAAGGCAGAAGGATCAGGCAAAAATTCAGCATCCTCTCCAAAGATAAAATCTGGTGGCAGGTCAGGATAGTGAGCATTGAAAATTATATCCCCTGAAAAGTAACAAATGAAAACACTGTTTGCACTTTTTATCCACATGCTTATAAATAAATAAATAAAATATTGTACATATGATACACATTTTTAATATAAAATTTGACAGCTACTTTAAATATATTTCATGTATATATCCATATATTCTTTACAAAAATTCATATGCAAGATAAGCATCAGATGTTTTGGGGGATGAAGTCAAATCCCTGAGGCACAGCTTCATCCTCCTCTGCAAGCAATGAAACATGAAATACATTATTGCTTCATATATCAAATTCAAACACTATTGAGGATTGCCTCAAAACACCAAGTTAGAAAGGAGATTTTTTTTTTAAAAGTACCACATTTAGATTTCTGTGTTTTGCATATTAAGTCAAAGTCAAATGCAAACTACTAAGATCAAGATTTTCAAAATACCACAGATTTAAAACTTAGTAGCACTTACTCCCTCTTCTCTTCACCACCCACAACTCTTAGAAGGAAGAATATGCAGTTCAATAGGAACCATTCCAATCATCCAAATTCTGGCCAAGAGAAATGCAGTATTATGCACTTAAATTGAGAGACTAAAATTAACTAAAAATATCAAACTTGATCACAGCTTAGCACTGAGTTCTCATCTTGCCAGTGTCACAAGATATACAATTAACTACTGATGTGACAGTTCAAAGAAATTTGTGTTGTATTGTTTCACTAGTAAACATACTTCAGAGTTCATATAGGTCAAGAGGCAGACACCTGCATGTGAGCTCTTAAAAAAGCACCCACAATGTAAGAAAAAAAAAGCATCTAGCATTACTTCTCTACCTCCCAAACACTTTATGAAGATATGAAAGAATAACTCTGAACTTCTGCATCTGTGTTTTTGCCACGTTCTTATGTGATGCTAAGTAGCTAATTTAACACACACTTTTTGTATTGCAGTTGCTAGTTGCATGCTTTTCATTCTCTGCATT